ATTTTGCCTAAATGCTTTTCTTTCTCATATAAATGTCTACCTGTACTCTATTCCATTAACTTGCACACCTCGCTTAAGCCAATTGTATTCGATTTCCATAACATTTTTGTGTTCGTGGCATTTCCGTATAGTATACTTTCTCACCTCGTGAACTTATCTAGGATTCGTTTGTAAACAACTTATTTCATATGCTCATTAACTTAAGGTTTATGTCACCGTTTCCTTATGCATCAATCGAGTTATTTTCTTTCTCTCTCTCTCTCTCTCAAGTGTTTGGCTGTTGCTTGATATCCCCGGTGTGGCTGCGCTTGATGTGCATGTTGACAAGGTGCCTACCTGTCTATTACCCACTACCTCGTCCATACTGGCTCCAGGAGACAGTTGGTCGTTGCTGGAGGGGACAGGGTGCACGGTCCTTGTGGCCGTGTTAGGCTCGAAGAGTGGTTCCATGCACTCAGTGTGGAGCGGACTACGGTCCAGCTACCGCCTTGTGTGCGCTTGATTTCCCAAATACAGCGTGCTTGTGTTTGCCTGTGAAGGAGTGTGGGCCGGCTCCGTTGATGAAACGTGGCTCCCATCCACATGCCTCCCGGTCTTATTCCTTCGGGTTTACACTGGATATGGGGTGTGTGGTTGGAGCTGTGGGTGGTGCAGCGCAAGCCATCCATGGTCCCTCTGTAGGCGCAGGCGTCCTGTGGCTGGCCACAGTGACAGGCAAATCCGAAACCGGATGCCGCCAACCATATATATTCACAGTCTGTTAACAGACATTATGCTCTCAGAACCGTGGGAAAGGAAAAAGTGGAGAAGATGGAAACTCGATATATCACAGGAAATGGAAAACGATTTTTTGATTTTACGCGCGCCATTTTGCTTGTTTTGTTTTTGTTTCGTGAGTTTTTGTGTGCATTAAAGGGGAATAAATGGCGGCACAACATTGACACCACTGATGCCTGTTGCTGGCCATGGCATCCTATGTTTCCAACCACGGAAATTCAGCACTTCGTGGTCCCCAGCCTGGAAGACGGACTGGTCTGACTGCCGCCAAACCTGAGCTTGCCTACTTCATGTTCTTTCTTCACTTCATTGGCTTTCCAGCGCGGCATTTTTCCAATCGCTCCCTGAGAGTGCAGATAGCGCTCGATGTGGAAGGCGATGGGCTAGCATGCGCAAAACATGCCCGAACCAACGCAAGCGATGTCGGAGAATAAAGTTCTGAAGACTAGCACTACTCGCTACAAGCACTAGGTCTCGAACCTCTACGTTACTTACGGGGTGTTGCCACCACACCCGAGCATTCCTTCGTAGACGGCGATTGTCGAAGACTGACAGCCACTTCATGTCTTCGAGCGAATAGTCCGTCTCGCAGCTGTACAAAGATATGCACGGACGGAAGTATTGTACATCCTATCTTTGAGCTTGATACTGGCATCACGACGGCACCATAGGTATCTCAGTTTGATGAATTCAAGGCGCGCCTTTGCAATCCGTCATGAGACTTCATCTCCAACACCGCCACCAGCTGTGATGCAACTCCCTAGATAAGTAAAGTAAGGAACTTGCTACGGAACGTGTCCAGCAATGGTGAGCGAGGGTTCAGGCACTTGCCAGTCCTGGAGCAGCGTCTTACATTTTCCCGGTGTGAAGCATAAGCCGTACTTAGACGCCTCCATCCCTACGTGATCCAAAGCGCACTGGACGGTTTTTGGGTCATCCCCCAGTAAGGCGATGTCATCGGCGTAGTCCAAGTCAGTGACTCTGTCTCCAGGGAGGTGTTCAACATCGCAGTCCTGGACACCTTTCAGTGCTCTTTGGACAACCTCTTCGATGGCGAAATTGAAGAGGAAAGGTGAAATAGGGCAACCTTGGTGAACACCGCTGGTCACAGCAAACGAAGAAGAGAGCGTGCCGTAAGCCTTGACTTTGCCCGACATGTGACTGTAAAGTTCTCTCAGGATGGTTACAAACTTGTCAGGCACACCTTTCTTCAGGAAGCAGTTCCACAACGCAGATCTATCTCCTGAATCAAATGCCGCTCGGATGTCCAAAAGCAGTACGATTGTTGGCTGCTGGTAGATGCGACGGAATTCGAGAAGTTGACGAAGCGTGAAGATTTGGTCGATGCAGCCGCGGCCTGGACGAAATATGCTTGTCGGTTGCCCAAGGAGTGTTTTCATTTGTAGACTTCATAGCAGAACTTTTGCACTGGTAGACTTCAAAGTGAATCTCTCTCATTAGACGATTAGCTTCAGGTGGCTTCGGACTGGAATTATCCGTTGTGCTAGCGAAAGGACTGGCTTCGAAAGCTGCTGTGGATGTGCGCAGCGAATGTTGGCTCTATATTCTTCATTGTCTGGAAACACGGTACTCATGAGATCTGAGCTACCGCGACTTGAGATGCACTTAGGATAACTAAAGCAGAAAGCTTGATTACATCAAGCCGTTCCGCAATGGACAGTTGAGGACCACAAAAATGAAGAGTGATTTTGTGTGTATACAAGCACGTAGTTCAACCTAAAGGAGACATCATTGACGGATAGTGGTCCCCTATTCAGGATCACTAATGGAAATCGTCTGTTGTGTGCTTGATATGCGTTTACTGCTCACCGGGGTTTGAATTTTGCCTAATATGTAGCGTCATGAAGGATTCATTTCTGTATTCCTCAGTGGCGAAATCGGATGATCCCGAAGAAATCTGTTCGAATAGTGTTAACTGAATTTGGTGCTGTACCGGGTGACCCACTTGGTAACGCAAAACGCGAGGATGAAAGCGCACTTTTGGTTGAGCCTAGCCATGATCATGTGCTTCCGCAAAGGCTAACTCGGAGTGTTGCACGCCACGGGGTCGGATTCACGCTCTCAGTGTGCGAGTACAATTGCCCAACTGTCTAGGCATGCCGCCAGTTCACAACTTCTTTGGATGGCTCTTGTACTTTGTAGATCGGTCCACTAGTTTAGGCGGTTGCATCACTTCCGTTGATCTGGTCACCAAAGGGGTGCGGCATTGTGCCTCGATTGGCCTTTCGTTCCCTAAATAAGTCATGGAGATTTCGGATACAACAGGAAAAGTTGCCAATTTCTACATCCATACCTTTCTGATGTTTCACGGATCGGAAATCCAAACCGGTTTTTGGGCAGACTGGAAATGACCATAACGACCAAACATAGACAGGAACAATTGTCCGGGAACACAAAGATTATAAAGTAACCTCACGGAACTTTAAACCAAGGAACACAAGCTTACTGATCAAGTCTATTGTGTTGTTGGGTGGAGCCTGGGATACTAGTGGGTAATCAATGACCCGTAAGAGACGTGTCAACTGCGGGACCGGATAGAAGTTGGAAGCGACTGAACCCAACGTATATTGTGCAGGCTACAAGAATAGGGAGCGAATCAACCAGAACGAGAAATGGTGCAGCAAGGTACTCACCAAAACGACTTGTGTCAAGGGATGTGCAGTCAGTAAAACAAGTGGGCGTTTTGAAGGTTAAAATAACCGTAAAACCCAATGTTGCAAAATGCGGAAGAGCGTTTTTTCCGGTAGACTATAGTGTACGATGACTAAACACAGCCAGTCTTACCGTGTGAATCAAGCAGCATAGGCTTTGCACGCTGAAGATGGAATGAATTTGCTCAATTTTGACCACCAACGTGTGTGATCCACTGTCGTTCAATTCCCTGATGATCTGTTTAAAGTTGATATTTTTCAAGAATTATTTTCGCAGTACTTTTAACTGAGCGCTCCTGATTCTTTGTAAAAGTTGCACTGCATATATTGATCGGGTTATGTGGTCATCGAGTGAATAAATGTCTTTTCTGATCTCATGATCATAAACTCGTTGGCATTCATGATTATGCCGCCTTCCTTTTTGCTCTCTCCGTTTTCGTTTTGAGATTTTACTTATCTCCTTGTGTTTGACCGAGCGTCTCCATTTATTCGCCTGTCCGTGGTCAATATGACAAGGCTTCTGGCTTACAACCCGGAGGTCGGAGGTTTGAGCTTGTGTAGGGGACCGGGCAAGCCTCGCAATATCCTTAGCCTATGTGCGACCGGTGGTGGTTGCGTAGCAGGGAAGCGTCAGTACTGCGTATCGGCGTACTGCTGATGCTATTTTTACTTTATTCTAATTTTGTTTTTGCGTCACTTTCATCATACTATGTATAAAGGTAACTTCTTTAATCAGATCTCAGTGTCTGTCCCAGACAATTGGCTGAAGTTAATTTAACTACGAAATCTTTAGTATGCAGAGCTTTATAGCCAATTACCTGAAACAAAACTAGTTAGGTTGCAGTGCGCATACTGCCATGTTCACTACGGTAGCCTCGTAGTTGTACCGCTCAGACCAGAATGGGGTCTTAGACCAGTCTGTTTATGATAATTGCCTACGCGAGTACGCCGTGCAAATTCAGTGCGAATACGTTTATGTGATTTAGTTAAAAATAGGAAAGAAGTTTCCCACGTCCCTGTTATTAGAAATCAGTGCAATATATTTCTGGTCACACACAATGGTTTAGACTGATCTATGATCTTTTCACGCTAAAAGTTAAACAAAGAGGAAAATATCACCAGCATCTTGTTGACTACGTTTCCGAGGATGTTGACTTCCGTCAGCTCAGATCATTCTTATAAAAGGCGTCCATGTGAGTATGGAAGATGCTCTAGATCAATGCGGCTTTAAATAACCGTCAAAGTTAATGTAGAAATGTTCCATATTGGCTGTCGCTAAAGACAATGGGTAACTGCTTGTTGTCACACGAAGTTGGAGGAAATAATTATGGGTGTTTTACACAAAGATGGTCAGCGAATATACACAGCAAGTATAAAGTGAAATTTTCCGTTTCTATGAGGGCTAAGTTTAACCTTTTTAAGTCGTTTTTGCTCCATTATGCAGCTTATGTCATACTGTCACTTCTTTTGTAGCGTTTTTTTGACGGCGCCAATGAAATGGGTTACTAAGCATCATTGCTATCCCTACTAACACACTCTATTGACTCTCAGAATCATTTCCGTTATCTGAAAACAGCTTGAAGAGCGAGAGAAATTCAATCCATGACAGCAACATGGCCAGTGATACAGAAGAGCAGAAAAAGGGAACGCGTTCGCCGTTCGCTGATACGTCGTCTAATCACTCAGCTTCAGCCGGATGCGATATTGCGTACGTAAACTGTTGATTCTCACTGGTATGCGTATAGATTCAAATAATTTTTAGGGGTAAGTGTGTATCGATCGAGTAAGAGTAAAATAATAAACCCACCATGGAACACAAGCTTGTTTACTCTGCACATAGATAGGAAATAGCGAGCAAGGGGCAAGTTTAACAACATGGTACTTTATGCCGATAAATTCAGTTCACTACCATTATCAGCACAAACGCAACCAAGCAGTCTTTGTCACGACTACGGGGCTTCATCGCACTGCGGGTTTGAGGTAGATTCAACGGAGTGGTGTTTGGTTAGTAAGCTTCTTGACTCTATGATCTTATTACGAAATCGTATTGTACTCAGGGCTACCCACACCAGCTTGATAATTAGCCGAGAAGATACGCAAGGCCAGTTTAACTTCAGCATTACCGTTGATCCAAAGGTATAACGTTATTTCATAAGCAGGCATTGAAAGCATCTAGTTGTTTTTGTGTGTTGTACGGACTGCTTATTTCCTTGGGTTTTTTAATCGATACACCAACGTAAATATCCCAGCTACCTGTAAATCTATTACGTTTGCTCCATCCCAGTCGAGGCACCTCCTTGTTTTAATTTGTGAACAGTAACGTTTTTCATTTAACCGCCCTCCTATTCAAGCAAATTAACTATTATCCAGTTGCTTATGTAGGCCGTGCCACTAGCTTTCAAACTTGGTTTAACAAAGGAGTGGTAGCGATAAGTGGACTGCCCATAATAATTCACTAGGTCAACACAACTTTGTGGTATGAATTGGTGGGACTTTTGATGCACTCCAATCACACGATTTTGCTTCAACTAGCACTCCATGTGGACCCTTTAGATAGGAAGAACCTGTCTGAGACTCAAAATTCTTAATTTTTTATTAACGTCTGCATTTCTTGACCGCCAGTATACCTGTCCTGTGGGCAAATCATTTTTTAACAGAATTTGGGATCCTTGATTTACCAGCCGTACGTCTTTCGCCGATTCCATGGTGAATTGATTCAGTCTGAACTAATTGTGTCTTGTAACCTGTCCAAAATTTGTTCTACACCTGAGTAGATATTAGAGAACCTCATGAAAAGTTAGGACTGGTTACCTATCTGTATCCCCTTCAAACGAAACAGGTTAGAAGGGCCAGCTAACAAGTAATACTTGCTCCACCTTTTTCTAGAAAAAGATGCGCGTCAATAAATTAACTTTTTCGCACACCTATGCCTGGTACTTGCAAGTTGTTTCCTCTTGTTACTGCGGACACCTTTAATGTCCCTCTTGTTTCAAGCGCGCGTACCGACTTCCCAAGACCTGGCAGAGTGACCTCAACCACGGACTTGGCCCCGGGATTCGATCACAACCAACCCACTGTGGAATGCACACCGAAAGCTACCACAAATGTTGCTTCCGGAGGAAATATTTTCTTACAGAGTTTACGCAAAATGCCCTCCAACCTAAACTGCAACTCGGTAGAACCTGAAATGGTGGATGCAAGAACGCTGAGGATGATGGCTTACAATACTTGGTACAGAAAGAACAAAAAGCTTACTGCAGAAAGTACGAAATTAGGTTCACATGAAGAAAGTGAAGTAACGAAAAAGCAAGATGTAAGCCGCTTTACACAACTTGATGTTCCTGCCTAAGTATTGTAACATACTTTACAAATCTTTCGAACGGTACTATTTGGCAGTTTACGAAGCATTTCCAGTCTAAATTTGTAAGCCTGAAAGCTTCTCACTTTTGTGTGAAGGCAGATAAGTTTATTTAGGTCACTGAATTTTCTTATAAACCATAACGTGTCCAGCAAATAAAAGTCAGTAGTTATGTTGCTACCAATGAAAGTGAAGATTGTTCCATTGTTTACTTCTTTGGTTTAAAATTTGAGTGCAGTCAATATGGTTGGCGGCATCCGTGTACGCATTTGTCGCTCACTGTGGCCTCCATGGAAAATCCACAGGATGCCTGCACATACAAAGAGACCATGGGTGGTTTGCGCTGCATCACCGACAACTCCATCCACAGACACAATATCTGGTGTAAACTCGATGAAATAAGACCGGAAGGCATGTGGATGGGAGCCACGTTTCATCGATGGAGCCGGTGCCAAATGTCGAATTACAGAATCATGCATATCAGATGTACACAAAGCGGTGGTTGGGCCTTAGCCCGTTCCATACATGGTGGAACCGCTCTTTGAGCCCAGCACGGCTCAAGTATGTGCACTTTTTTGTCCTTCCCGAAGAACGATTAACAGTCTCCTGGAGACAGCTTAATCGAGGTTGATGGTGTTGACAAGTAGACACCTTGTCAACGTTCACATCAAGCACAGCCACACCGGGGATATCCTTTAATAGCCAACACCTGAAAAGCAAGATACTCAATCCGCAAGCATACATACAGTCCAATTGCAGCGACGATGTAACACACGTACCGCATCGACCGCACTGTTGCTATGGGTTAGTCAAAGGAATTTAGTCGAAAGCAGCATACTTGACATGCGCATCGCTGATGGGGATTGTCTATTCAACTGACTCATCAACTATACAATATCCGAACTGCACGGTGGCTTACTGTCCGGGAGAGGTCGCGCACTTCCTGGAAAAACGGTTGTTCCAGTAATTTATCGATCGTTACGGATTATCACATCGATTTCGAACCGTCTGGTTTGTACCTCGATCGTTTGCACCTTACTGCCAACCTCCTGAAGATTGGTTAGATCGGTATGGCAGTGCTTAATTTTCCGCCTGACCTTCCACTTCTAGAACTCGAAAGTCATTAGTTGACCAATTAATACGACCAAAGCCCGCTTCACTTGTGCAGCATTTTTGGGTGGTGGTTACGCGTTATTATATCAAGGTCGTTTGTTTTCGGTTTTTTCCTTCGGTTGGGCTGTTTTTGTGGAGCAGTGAATTGCATATTTCGGAGGTACAATATATGCGATTATAACACTTACTAGGCCGGCTTGGCTCGGGCAATCGCGACCGCACGTGCTGCAGTACTATGCGTTCGATATCGATGGGCTAGACTCCATGGGCGCCTGTCGCTTCCGTACCCGGCTTTTCTTTCCCGCATGCAACATTAATGTCCCATGCACCTCGGCAACCGCTTCCTTGCTTTGCTGTCGTCATTAGCGTTGATCCACTGCCATCGCTTCCCAACACTTTAAATCAATATTAGTTCATGCTAAACGCACTTTGATCAACTACTGGTAAGGTAAATTCAGTCTACCAAACTTCCAGTTCACTGTAGGCAGTTTGGTATAAACCAGCTGTGTCGGTATCCGTGTCGAATCCACGCGGTGGACATTCCTCAACCACTTTCGGTGCTGCAGCAAAAGTATGCAGTACACTGCACACATACCACTGCAGCGGAGCACCTCCATGACAGCACCCCGGTCACCCAAACAGATGCGCAGAGTATGGCGCAGACGCTTTTGATGAAATCGCTCCACATAACGGACATTATCCTAATAAAGCCTCCAAGTTTCCGTGTCGTATAGAAGAACGGACAGAACCAATAACTTGTGCACCATCAGCTTCGTCCCAATGGTCAGCTCATGACTGTTGCACACCCGATTTTCCAGCTTCTCAAATACAGCACACGCTTTCGATACGCGGATGCATATCTTTCTCAAAGGTTTTCCTGCTCCAGCATCATCTAGTGCAGCCACCATACACTCACTCATTCTAATCGGATTAACTTATCGGATTCAGCGGTCAATTTTTCACGGAATTATTCGCTATGGATCTTCATTTCTGCAGTACAAACTGTTTTAGCACTTCGTGGGCACCTTACCGCGTACACTCTTGCTGTTTTTTTAAATCAAATTTCACATCTACATCGCGTTTGATAATGGACTCTCCGCGCTAACCGGCGATACAAATGTTACTCCAACAGCTGTTACTCAACAGCTGTACCCACGGATGTCGCGGATTTTTGGATCAATGTGTGCTGGATACTAATTTTGCCTCAGATTACCGTGTTAGCAACGTTTTGTCTGTGTGAATTGTGCACCATTATTCTTCTTTTGGCGTATTTTCCAAGCGGTGCAAATTTGGCGGCTATTCTTTGGCTAATTCCGGAGATCTCATTGATTTACCATACTGCCATCTCTGTCCGCCATCTTGGATTTGCTCTAGCTTGTGATGCCGTCTCAAGCTACTTGTGGTTCGTGTTCGAAAGTTGTGGGAAATAAGGCTCATGCACTTCGATGCTTCGGCTGTGATGTTTTGTTCCACATTTCGTGCATTGGCTTATCCGTTGACGTGTTTCGAAAATCGCTCGACATCCGACATCGTTATTTTCAAGTTATATGTGATAAATGTCGCGGTACAAGACATCAGAATTCGCAGCGACCGCAAACAACTACGGGAAAATCTCTCTTTCAGATAGAAACAAACCGTTCACCACGTGGGATCAAACGCCCTCGTGAAAGTACCTCTGTCTCCTCACCTTCTATTGTCACTCCGTGATCTGCACCACCACCAGCGTCTTCGACCCCGGCCGAACCCCAGGTTCAATGTTTCCCACTCAGAAGCTACGAAATGCCGCTTCACTGATCGGTCCGTGAATTTCTCAGAGCCTGTCTGTGAACTTCTGAACACCGAGGATCCAGGGACCACTCAAAAGCGCAAGGGCCCACGTAATCGAGTTCAGATGTCACCTGCTGATAAACAACAAACCAGTCAGTTAAGCGCCTCTAGTTCTGCTCCCACAGGTTCATCACTGATTTCGCTGAGGCGTCATAATCTCATGGTCTTCCACGTACCGGAGTCAAAAGATGAAAACCCTCAGATACGTTATGATCACGTTGCTGAGTTCCTCCAGGGGCTCATCGATAGACTCTTGGATGTGGGCGAGGACAGTGTGACGATTAAACAGGTAATCCGACTTGGCCAGAAAACTAACTAGTCATGTCGACCCCTGAGGATCACCTTTGCAAATCCTAATATGCCACAGCTCATACTGTATCGTCTGTCAAGGCTGAAAGGCATAAAAGTTCACATCCGCCGAGACTTGGAACCCGAAGACAGGGATCGTTTGAAGACTGCGGTCATTGAGCTCAAACGCCGTACAGAGGAAGGTGAGACTAACTTACAAATTGTAAATTTTCGGGTGATCAAGAAGGGTGTACGAACCCGTATCAACCGGTTGCTCAACCTCCAGGCACGTCCCGCAGTACCTCCCAGGACCTCCGTGTGGCATTCGCCAACGTGTGCAGCCTAATGAACAAACGTGACGAACTGTGCCGCTTCACTGTCTCGGAGCGGCCGGATATTTTAGGACTTGCAGAGACATGGCTGAACTCCGACGTCATACCCCAAGAAGTCGTGTTGTCAGGATACTCTTGTTTCCGATGCGACCGAAAACCAAAGGCTTACGGTGGTGTTCTGTTGTACATAAAATCGTCACTATCTGACAAACTTATCAGTACCTATCGGAGCGAGGACAGTTTATGCGAGAAATTGTGGTGCACAATCCGCCTCAGGCGCGCAGAACTAATAGTGGGGGTTATCTACCGGAGCCCATTAAACCGTTGCTGCGGTTGGATACCACATGTACAGAAGCACATGAGCCGCCCTCAGTTCTTACTGATGGGGGGGTCTAAATTTACCTAAGATAATTTGGCCAGATGTTCGACTTCTCCCCGGTCATGGCAACATTGAGGCTCAATTCGCTAAAATGACTATTGAAATCGGGGCAACGCAACATGTCATCCAACCGACGCGCGTAACTCCGTACTCGGCATCTTGTCTGGACCTAATCTTTACGAGCTGCGAGCAGAAGCTAAAAGAGATCAGAGTCATCGAACCTCTGGCGAACAGTGACCACTGCTCTATTGTAGCAAGCTTAGAACTGTCGTTACCATATTACAATCAACAGAAGCCGACATTCAACTATTGGAAGACGGACTTCAACGGACTCGTCCAAGCCGCAAGTCAGACTGATTGGACACTACCACATGATGCGTCACTTGAGGGCTGGTGGTCATTAATAAAGGGGAAGCTTAACTCGCTCTGTACTCGGTTCGTTCCCCTTAAGTATCCAAAAATCGGACCTGTCAAGCCGCATTGGTTTGATAGGGAATACAGACAGTTAGCGCGACGACGTCGTAAACTTTGGGATAGATACATCAGCTCGGGTTCTGATGAAGATTACACGGTGTACAAGAAACAGCGTAACTTATGTAACGCCGCAAAGATCAAGAAACGCCGGCGGTAAAAGAGGAGCTAGCATCCTCGGCCACAACTGCACCCAAGCGAATATTTGCCTACTTGAAACGTCAACTGAAACCTGGGGACGACCTACCGGTCTTAGAGAGCTTAGACGGGAAGACACTCATTTCAAGCGCGGAGCTCGCGGATGCCCTGGCTACGCACTTCCTCACTGTATTTTCCAGTAAACCGGCGGCTGTTCCAGTACCGGCACAGGTTGCGCAAGTCTTGCTCAAAAGCCTACAATGTGATGCAGTCGAAGTGTACCAGCTACTCGTCAACCTCGATGGTGCAAAGCCCCCCGGACCAGACGGACTTCACCCACTAATACTCAAGTCCCTATCGATTATCATCTCGCCAGCTGTGACAAATCTTTTCAACAGATCGCCCGA